ATCTCTCTGCAGTAGTTGTTTACGCTCACAGTTCAACACAGAGCAAGAGCAATTCTCTTCATGTCTGTCTTTGGACTTTATCACTGCAGTCATCATGATGTTTTTTTTGTCTTATCTGTTCCTGCCAACTTAGAAACTTCCACCGTCGTCTCAGAGTGGCTAGCCAAAATGAAGCAGGGGGTATCTGACTACATTTGACATCACATCATTTATCATTCAACCCTATTTATAAGTAGGGTTATTGAGATTTTCATGAAGTAGCACGTCTGAATTCGCCTTTTCACTTCCTTACCATGCAAGTAAAATTAGTTATTCTAAGAAAGTGCAGTTATTTCAGCCAGTAAATGATCTGCTTTCGCTGGTATGTTTACTACAGCCCAATAAAAATGCTGCCTTCAGAACAAAATCTAAACAAATACTCTATCATAGCTAAAAAAATTATTATTAATGGACCTTTCCATATAGACTATAAAAAGGAGAAAGGGCAATATTTACCAGGAAATACAGCACAACAAGAAGTTAAAATTAACATTAAAGTGTTATAAGGAAGTTCTAAAGAAGTCGAATGAGTTACAAGTGTAGTACAAAGAAAAGCAAAAGAAGGAAGGAAGGAAAGAAGGAAAAAGGAAGGAAGGAAGAAAGGAAGGGAGGGAGGAAAAATAAAGAAAGAAAGAATGAAACGTCCCCAGAATAAAACAGAAGGTAAGTTTCTTTTTGTAAGTGTGTGTGTGTGCGTGTGCATGCCATGCGTGTGTGTGTGTCTCCATGATTCACGTTCCCCACAGCCTGAAAACAAACACCCGAACACAATAAGCTTTTGTTGCCTGAAGCAGTGATGAATAGCTCATTTCCGTTATATTTCTTGTTCCTCTTCCACCAACACTGAACAGCACAGTGGCAAAATATGACAAGTTGGGTGTTTTACTAATGAGGAATAAAGGAAGGGAAAACATGCTACAACCGAATGAACATAAACGGTACAAAATAACACTCAGCAAATAAACTGTCTTAATGATAAGTATTTGGTTGAAATTGCAATTTAGAAAAACCTTAACTGTGGAATAATACTGTTGATATACATATCGGCACTGCTGGTACTGATGTGTTAAAAGCTGCAAAGTAAATTCATCTTTTGCTGCTGTCGAATAATCAAACACTGAAAATGTTAGAAAAATCCAGTCATGATCTTGATAATCAGTCATATTTCCTTTGAGGAATGCAAGTTTGACCGAACTGTAAAATATTATCACTTTTTGCACTCCAAAGAAGTGAAATAAAAAATACCTAACTAAATAATTTTGTTTCACTTTAGCTGACTTTTCCTTATAAGTTCTTTTTGCTCCATTTTTTTTTTTTGACACAATCTTCAAAATGGAAAACACACCACAAAGGCAAAAATGTTCGTTGACCTAGGAAGATTTACTTGCCGAAACCTTTTGCTTCTGTGAGGCACAATAGTCGATGTGGCACTCGGTAGATTTGTTTTAGTCACTCTTCAAAATGGGTAAGACAAGATACTACGTTGTTAAAGTAAGACAGAGGCTTGCTGACCTCAGACTTCTGTCTGCCACTAGTAAAAAATAAAAATGTGACACAGAGACACACTTCCTTTGGCCACTACCCCTCCAGTTTGCACCGGGAGCCATATTTACCTCACCACAACCTGCGGTGAAGAGGATGGCAGACATGAAGAGACACCCAAATAGCTCTTTGTGAAAGAGCTGCAACAAGAAGCATGAGTGGAGGCTGACACATAGGATATGTGCACACACACACTCCTACCTGATGAGAGAACTAATTAACCTTACAAGGATTTCATTTTAAAGCATTTGAGCACATCTTTACCTGAGGCACTAATAGCTGTTGATGGAGGAGTTCCTGCTTTCCACAAAAAAACTTTAAATCTTTAGTTTTGGTTTCAGTTTTTCCAACCACACTTAAACTTGCTGAACTCGCCAAATCATCAACTAACAGCAAATAAACAAGCCGGAGTCACGAGCACAAAACAACTGACAGCTTCAGCAGAGTGGCAGTCAGATTGTTCACTGGCGCGCGCTAATATTTACAACAATTTGTTACAGAGATCAATTATTAAATCAGAGCGACTTTGGGTGTCATAGATAATGGATGTGCGAACGCAAACATACGAATCACAGTCACTCTATGGCGTCGGACAGAAAACCATCAAACTTTTTGCCAGTTTTTAGAAAAAAAAATGTTTTCAAAAGGTAACGGCTCGACCAGGTTTCAAAGAAAAGGCTATTCAACACTTTTAACCTCACTAGACCGAGACGCTGCTAAAATTTCTGCCTTCATTTTTACAAAGGAGAACAGAATCTAATCACAACATTCATAGGAGATTTGTTTCTTTGGTACCTGGGAGATCATTTTTGGGCATGTAGAAAAAGGCCCTCTGTGTGGGACGGGACAGTTTGAACATGTTAGGTTAATAATTTATGTGGGAGTTTCTGACAGTACGTACAATGAAAAAGGACAAAATAATTACACTTCCTGTGACAGGGAAGACATTGCACAGTGAGAGAAAGGAGAGAAATTAAAAAGAGCTTGTTCATGCTTACAATTAGATGTCATTATTTGGCAGGACAAAATTATAGCATGGTTCGTACCTAAATGCTGTTTCATTATTTATAGTTTTATTTTATCTGTTTATAATTTTTTTTTAGTTATACTTAAATCACAATTCTGCTTGTAATGGATTCCCTCTGTTGTTTTGCATCAACTAATTGGAAATTGTAAATAATTTATGTAAAAACCATAAAACACACGCAGACCACACGTTTTCATATTCTTGGCTAATTTATAGACTACAGTCTGAAATCAATAATGCTTGTTTCCTGGCAACTGCTTCACTTAAAGGATGAATGAAAAGAAGTACTGACGAGGACAAACAGGAAATACCCATAAGATCATGTTGACACTGAGAGAGAGTGAGCACAAAGCCCTCCTCAGACTACAATGAGAAAACCATGTTTAATCCTCAGCCAGCCCAAGGAATAAGCAAGCCAAGCTTCTCACGCAGAAAACTTTTAAATCACTTCGACCAGTTTCTACATGGGAACATTTCAGTTTTTTAATTATTTAATGTATTCAACATCTAAAGCAACAATGTCTTCTTTCTTGTGGTACAAAGAAGATATATACAGTATGATAAGTGACATTTACTTCTGTAACTTGAGAGCATTTTTTTATCATGCTGCTGCTCGTGAGAGTCACCTTTCATGCACTGAACTGCTTTGAATAAAATCCAATTGAAACAACTCTTCTTCCTGTCTCTGTGATCTGTACCGCTTAAGTAAACATTTCAGTTCAAGCTCACAATCTAAAATGTTTTATCTTAAATATCATTTTAAAAAAAAGAGATGGTGGTGTATTTAAGAAATAACACCTTCAAAACTGCTATAAAAAATGCAGTTTTGAAGGTGTTCAAAACACTCAGCAAATAAACTGTAATAATAATAAAGCGATTCATTTGATTTCAAGGCATTTTAAGGAAATAATAATAAAGCGATTCATTTGATTTCAAGGCATTTTAAGGAAATAATAATAAAGCGATTCATTTGATTTCAAGGCATTTTAAGGAAATAATAATAAAGCGATTCATTTGATTTCAAGGCATTTTAAGGAAATAATAATAAAGCGATTCATTTGATTTCAAGGCATTTTAAGGAAATAATAATAAAGCGATTCATTTGATTTCAAGGCGTTTTAAGGAATCTTCTATTGACCCAGGTAATAACTCCATTTTTAGAGTTGTTGAAGTTCTTTTAAAGAGATGACGAATGCTGTACATAGGCTGTGTAGAGAATGGGGTAAAGAACAGTAGCTTCTTCTTCTGCACTGGTCAAAAAGAGAACTTTGCATGCTTTTAGCATATTCTCTGTCTATTATATATATATATATATATATATATATATATATATATATATATATATATATATATATATATATATATATATGTTCTAAATAAAACTGGATAATTTATTTGCCTATGTATGAAGAAGCTACAATGTATAAATTCTTGTCTAAAAATGATCTCAAAATAAATATTATTAAAATGGTAAATTAAGATAATATGCATTTTCAACACAGGTTGGACTCACTTAAGCAAACACCTGAGTTTAAATAGGGTCATTATGAAAGACCCCAAGGGAGTAAGTTGACAACATGGACTCAATAAAATATAAAAACAAACCAAAGATTATCAGCAGCAAAGATGCCTAGATTTAGTTAAAAAAAAAAAATTGCAGATGAATATGACAAAATTTTTCACCAGAATACCTGAATTATTGGATACTGGTTGGTTCAACCTAGCTCTAACTGCAGAACCTTGTTTTATTTTACTCCAGTATGAATAATAGCTGTTAAATAAAAGCAATTGAATCACATGTTACATTTTTATTTTAAATCTCTGTGCAAGTTTATAATCCTGATAGATTCTCAACCGGTTGTTAGGATTAAGAAGAAAAAGAAAATGTGAAACTGGCTGTCAGGTAATGAAATTCTGAATTGGCTTTACACAATCTTGGGTTGGGTCTGGATTCTTACTTGGCAATTTAACTCCTTTTATTATATTTTGAAGCTACTATATAACGCAACCTTGATACTAACATGCATCTGGTACTTTTCTCACCAAAGCAAAATAATAATAATAATAATAATAATAATAATAATAATAATAATAATAATAATAATAATAATAATAATAAAAGCTTCAACTATTTAACAACTACATCCAAAGTGTTTGAGTTTTCATACGAGTACAATTTGAAATGAATACTGTCAAACACTTTAAAACAGTTATGAGTTGGCAACATGGACACACCAGAACCAAGCAGCATCAGCAGAAGAGATGCTGAGAAGCAAGAAGACGTGAATGTAAATGAAACTTTCGACCAGGACACGAGAATTAGTGGGTGCTGCTTGGTTCAGCCCAGTTGTTGCTGTGAGGCAGAGTTGTGACAGAGCGGCCCAACACTTACGCCCTGATCCTGGGGAAGCCCATGGACAGCAGCACGTCCAAAGTAGAGCCATGTTTGATGGTGTTGGGTCGGTTCTGGCGCTGCCTTCGCGGTGTCACTTTGGCGTACAGGTCCTCCTTCGCTGCCATAACTCACTGCCCCATCGGTAGGTCAGGTCCACAGCTCCGCTGGCGCGTTTTCATTTATGAGCGGATAAAAAAGAAGTGGGGGGAAAAAAGGAAGACGGAACCAATGAGCTCTTTAACCCAGAGTGACTCGGTCTGGACGGAAGCACGTAAATATCACGAAACTCTGCGAGGCAACGAGCATGTTTTGACTGTGAGCTGGAACGAGCTGCTGCCTCCTCCGCCTCCTCCGGCTGCTGACGGCTCGCAGCATGAAGTCACAACCGTCAGCGGGGGGCTCGGCCGGGGGGAAGTCACTCCTGCGCGCTCAGCCGCGTCCCCGACAGCGGCGAACACATCAGGCTGCTGCCTGCCCCTCGCATCCGGTCCGCGGAGCGAAAAATCAGATACGACAGCGCTAGTTTCCCCCCTCCAAATGTTGTCTTATTCATGAATGGAGCCTGATGAGCGAGCGGAGGATCCGCCGCGACCCCTTCAGTTAAAGAGACGGCACGGCAGCAGCAGGCAGGAGGTGACAGGAAGTCAGTTTTAAAGCCTTCAAACCGGAGAGGCGTGTTAAACTGTGACAGCGACGCAGTCCGCCTCCTCAGAGGCGCTGTTTGAACACATTTCAAGACTGTATGGAGAGCTGCTGAGATTATTTCAGCGACAGTCCCATGATGGAGGTGAACGGTGGAAAATGCTGCTCACACTTCCTGTCTGCGAGAAAAAGATCGACGTCACTGCGCGCATGCGTAGTGCGGGGTATGAGAACAGTCCGTTATCCTTAGTTGTCATAGCAACACTGCCACTAATCCGTGCATTTCTAATTTATTACTCAGTAGTAAATGTTTCACTGAAACTAGATAAACATTTTCCCAGCATATATTATTTAATAAGAAAATGTTCCAGTAAAAACTTTATACTTTAGTTTGTCACATATATGTTTTTTTGTTTTATGTATATAAAACAACAAAACAAATACTGAGTGTATTGAGTGTAATGATCAAAATAACCAAAACCAGCCTTTAGTAATACATGATTCGGGTGACATGACAGAAGGAATAATCTTGCTGATCAGAGGTTTTTGGTACATTAATTTGTGGTGTTATAGGAAGCTAAGGAAGCTACCGTCATCATATTATTATATCAGTGACAACCAAATACTTCTAAAATTTTTTTGGTTTTTTTTTTACTTGAATTTCAGACTTGATAAACCACCTGTATTTGCCAGCTGGTTTATTGAGTTTAACTTATGAGAAAAAAGGAGAATAAACTATAAACCACATGCTAATTTATTAACTTTTATTCATAAACAGACAAATCAATAATTACAAAATATCTAAAAAAAAAAAAAAACAAAGAAAGAAACAAGACAAAGAAAAAAACTGTTCCCCTATACAGATATTGACTGTTGTGTGTTGACAACCTGTCAAAGCAAAGCAAAGTGTCAAAGCAAAACATATTGTAAGTTCAGTTTCCAGAGTTAGAATTTTTTTTATCTAAATGTTCAATTTAAGTGACAGCTTTAGGTTCCACCGTGATCCATACACACAATGGTCATAAATTAAGAGAGAGACATTTAAACCACAGGGCAAACTAATGAACATTTCTAGCTCTAAATGCAAAATAGATTTTGTAATTACTGTAAAAATCTCTAATAAAAAGTATTGTTGCAGAAAAGATTAGATAAAAATTCAAAAACCTGAACAGCACAGCTACAGTGTTATATTTTAGCAGTATGATACAGCAATTGCCAGGAAATGTACTAAGTGAGCTGTACCATGCTTTGTGAGTTTAAATAGACTCCAAGTCTTTGTTCTTTAATCAGTACTTGGTGATAGTTTAAAAGGAAAATTATGAATGGAAAAAAATAATTTAGTAGCTGGAAGATAAAAAGAACACAAACATCAGCTTTGATCAGTAGCAGAAACATTCTGGCAGACAAAAAAAAGCAGATAGAAACCACATTTAATCAAAACTATAAATGTACAAAACGCTTCCTGAAAAAAATCTTAAAATCTTACATGGGTGACAGTGAAATCATTATCTGAAGAGAATAAAGATGGTTCATAATAACAGCACTGAAAGCACAAGTACAAAAAAAAAAATCACAAAGCCAAATATTTAACAGAGATTTCCGACTGCCACCTGCTACACCACAAATGACGACTTCTGTTTGAAATCCCCCTGCGGAACACAGCAAAACTCAATATACTTATTTTCATCCTGTGAAAATGTCTTATTTTTAAAATAAAGATGAATTTTACTTACATCATCTTCGTCACCACCGCCATACATGGATGGAGGCTGGTAGGCCGCACTTTGCTGCTTGCTGTGGGGGTAAACAAAAAATAAAATAATAAAATACAGGAATAAAATTAATAGTTGTGTTGAAATCAGAAGCTTAGTGTAAAGGGATAAAAATAAAAATATATATTTATGAAATACATGAATTGTATAAAGCTTTCTTAGAAAAAACAACCTAAAGACTAGCTTTAAGTTGGAATATGAAACATGGCTGCATTATTTCACACAAAACAACTGAACGGTTTTCTTTGAAATAGGGTGAATTCCTTTTCAGTGTCTTGCAAAAATATTCAGTGCCATCAACATTTTTATATTTTGTAACACTGCAACAGGAAAAATGTGACTTACTGGGATTTTAAGGTAATTGAGTTGAAGGAAAATTATATTTTTTATGATTAATATTCTCCAACAGACCTCTCAGACATTAAACTGCACACACATTTATGGTCTGCTGGGTCTGAATACATGTGCATGCCACTCCTAATTAAAATAAATAAATAAATAAATGAAAAATGTATTTTCTTTGCAGTTGACAATTTGCAGTACTTGGCGATGGTGTGTTCAATAAAATCCCAATGACATACACTGAAGTTTGTAGTTAGATTGTGATAGAAAGTAAAAAGTTAAATCACTGGACAAGGCACAAGGTAGAGCAAACATGCTCCTTAATGAGCAATTTAAATTGAACTGTAATTTTTCCAAATGTTCTGATCTCCATTGACCCTATAATTAAAATATAATAGCCTAAAAAGACAGAGGAGTTTAGGTAACTGGTTTGCAGTAACTCAAACTAATAATCCACTGTGTGACAATAGAAAACAGATTAAGAAAATGTTCTTACCTTTCACTTTTCATTGCTATAGAGGGAGGAAGGATATAAAAGCCAACTTAGTAAAACACTTGGTTAATTATGAAAACATAAATGTATAACCTGTGTTTCACAGCCTACAGCTGACATATAATAAGTTAATTACAACTGTGTCAAAAAGTGCAAAATGAAAACTCAACTCAAACTTAATAAACTAAAAAGACACTTGTGTGTTTTTGTCAGCTGCTAATTTAGTTGCTTTCCATTTCTTCTAAGGATTAGGCATCTTCAGATATCTTCTTTCTACTAAATAAACATAATAAACCTCTGAGACCAAAACATTTTGGAATACGACTGAAAACTTACAGGGAAGATATCCTTTCTTGTTGGCGAACCAAAGGCCGGCTATCAAAAGGCCCAAGAACAGAAGGCCAAAGATTACCCCGGCAACAATTCCTCCGGTGTTTATGTCACCTTGAAGAAAACATCACATTGAAAATCGTAAAGATAAATACATTTTTATAAAATGAGTTAACATTTCCACATTTTGCTAATTCACGTCACTGGACTTTCTAACTCTGCCGAACCACAGCTACAGAGAAAGAGGAGAACTTACGGACTTCCATTTTTGCACTTTTGCAGCGCTGGGGAGGACCGGCCTCGTTGCTCACCTCGCAGTAATAGTCCCCAGTGTCCATCTTGGTAACAGAAGGAAACACCTATATCCACACAAGTCATTTCATTACACAGCAAGTCCACAAAAAGAATGTAAAAGATTGACATATGTAATGCAACGTAATGGAGCATAGCCGACCAGCATTCCTGTTTTTGTATCCAGCTTGTAGGTGGCGTTTTTGAAGGCAACATTCTTACTCGGGTCCTCAGGAAGGAGGGTGGTACCTTTGTACCAGTTATATTTTGGTGGTGGAGAACCGTTAGGATCATTGCAGGTAAGGGTGACGTGTGAATTTGTCGTCACTGTTTGGGGGATTCCACAATTTGGGACGGATGGCGGCACTGTGAAATACAAAAAAATAAATAAAATACACTAAGTTAAAATGCTTTTTTTTCCTTCCCTTTACTGGATCAGCTGTAGTTCTTAAAAACATGCAATTTCTGGATCTTTCATTCTGTCACAATTTCAAAATTGTATTTGACATGTAAACCAAATTAGATTGGAAGAATGTTGAAACTGTATAAAGGCTGGATTTAAGCTAAATGGGATTATTAGAAATAAAACAGTTTGTGCAAATTTTCATAACTCCTTGTAGTAAGTAGCACACTGCAGTTTCAAAGTTCATAAAAATTTAATTTACTCTGTAATATTTGGCACTTTGTGGGGCAAACCATTAGTTATTCCTGTCTCAGAAAACATCCAAGCTCTCATTGAAATGTAAAATAACAATGTTAAAGCAATTCTGCATTCTGTGTAAAGAATACAGCATTAAACAGAACAATAAATCAATTAATCACATGATAAATTAAAACGAGTTCAGTTTCATTTAAAGGACAATTTTGTTTACATAGATTTCATAATTTATGTCATTTGTTTTTTTCCGTTGTTTATTTTGGACATTTAAAATGTCTTACAGTCCCAGTGTTAAATGTTCACCAAAAATTCAAAGATGAACAATTAAGTTTGTTCATCTTTGAGAATGTGTTGTTGCATTGCTATGTCTTTATCATTATGTTGCTTGAAAATTGTCTCAAAGCAACATTATTATTGTTTATCACAACAACTTCTGAGACAATTTATCATCCAGCAGAATTTGTTACTGTCACTGCTCAAAAACCTTGTCACTATAACTACAAATCAACAAATACATTTGCATCAATGAGTACAGTGCTACACCTATCGTTTTATTTAGGAACATAATAATCAATTTCAATAATTGATAACTAGTTCATTTCAACAGATCTCAAACTTCTGCACATTATATTTACTCTGCCTTGTGATTATTCTTCTAAACTATCTAAGTGAGGAAAGGTTTGGATTGAAATCAGTAAAGGGGACAAAATTACTAGCGCCTACAATAATAATGCAAATGCGCTGTTTCAGGAATGCTTACCCAGAACAGTCAGAACCACCTTGGCATTCTTCGTTGGGCTACTGGAGCTGGACACGTCACAGAAATACTCGCCGTTATCCTGACGAGTCACTCTGGAGAATCTCAAATTTGTGTTACTGAATATAGTTACGCGATCAACATATGGATCTGTGGAGAAGAAGCACAATTACAGCCTTAAGAAACTAAATGCGCTTATCAAAGCACTAGAGTGCAGGTTTCTTAGCTTTAATTTTATGCTGGATTGGATCAATAAAAAATACATTTGTGTAAATTCAATATCTCAGTTATAAATTTAGGGACAAGTTTTTATTTGCAAGATACTATTTGTATGATAATTTGTAAGATATATTCTTGTAGTTACCAACAAAAGAATTCTTTTAGTACAATTATTTTTATTTTAAATACATGCAATGTTCAGGATTGTGTGAACATTAAAATTGATAAGTCATAGTGGAAAATCAGTTGGTATTGGTTTAAACTGTTGTATTTTGTTTTAATAAACTGCATTATTAAATAGTAGGCCTTGCTCACTGCAGCTGACATTGGTGAAATTTTCTAAATCCTACTGAGCGAACTCAATCCACTTACCTGTTATTTTTTTGTCAAACAAAACATAGTTTGTTGAGCCTTTTGAGTTTACGAATCTCCACTCCATCCTGGCATCTGCACCAAAGTCTGCTGTGTAGGAGCAGGACATGTCCACACCTGGAAAAAACAAAAAATAAATCACATCACTAAAGCTGTGAAAGAAACAATTGGTGAAGCACAAGACTGGCTGTTTATGCTAAACCCTAAGTCACTACTTTTATTCTTTTCTCACAATAATAATAATTTTAGACCCAAATACTGGTCTGAGAACGGCCGGGAGAAAACGAAGATTTCTAAAGTGTTAAAACAACTCTAGTCTTCTTACATACGCAATTTTATCAACCATAAAGTCACCGAGAAGTTTACACCAAAAGACTGTAGTCCTTAACACTGATTTTCCAAGTGAAACATTCAAAACAGAAAAACGTATTGCAATCAAAAATAAAGTCAACAGGGATTCAGATAACTCGGCATCAACCAATGTAATTTTTAACATATTGCTCCAATAAATAAACAGGGCTGAAATTAAAAACAGTGTTCATCCCAGCACAGGATTATGGGATGTTTAGCGGAAACAGAGAAACACTATAATAGGTGTGGTTGCTTTCACACAGTGTGGCGACACACACACATAAATATCAACCCCAGTTTTCATATCTTCAGTATATCCCTAAAAATGTGTTTTTTTGTTTTGTTTGAATGTCTTGTACAAGTTGTTTGTCCTACGGCTGCTGTGACCTAAATCAGCATAGAAACATCAGCAGACTGGCTGTTTTCTGTCAGTTCACCACAGATCCAACGCAAATGAAGCAATTAACAACATGAGGTTTGGACTGCAGCTTTTTATAAGTTACAACAAGAAACTGCTTTGTGTTCTTGTGTTGGTTTTGGGAACTTTTGGGTTTTGGGTAGAAAAGACCAACTATGTGTATGCATTGCTCACTGAAGCTTGGTCTATATTTAAAATCAAAAAATAATGTCAAACATTATTTAAATACAGCAATAAACTGAACAATATTGCTGAACAATATTGCATCAAGTCAAACAAAACGTTTGTGGTCAGAAAAGGCGACCACAATGTGAGACTTTGTCACATTGACATGATGCAGTCATGTGACCAGTGTATTCACAAATATATTTAGGCTCACCTTCATTTTCTTTTACTTTCAGAATTGCAGGTGCAGTTGTGACGTCAAAACTGCTTCCACCTAGGAAGAAAAAGGTAAAATGAAATTTTAAAAATATTCCATTTGACATACACCAAAACGCAGACACATGAGCAGAACGGACCACTAAAAGGGTGATTTATTAAAACTTCTTTTTTCAGTTTAAGCTGAGTAAGGTGGCATAAAATAGAGCTGAAATGCATAAAGTAACACCACAATAGTAGTCACCATGAGGCGGCACGGTTATTGGACAAAATTAGTTATAATCCTGAATTCCTCCCATCTGAAGTCAGAGTTATGCTTGACAAGGCATCAAAAAATGTAGCTATTTACAGAGAAAGGAGGAGAAAACCAGGGCAGAAAATGAGTAACGATAAAAACTGTAATCTTGTTATGCTGTTTAAGTAAAACGTACAATTGTATGTTTTATTTGTACACAAGTGCATCAGATAAACATTTTGAAAAAGCAACAGATGCCATGCAAAGTGCAGAAATGCCTCCCTTTAAAGTTTTTCAACACACTTCTATGTAATAAATATATATATTTATGTACATTAATATACTTGGCCAATATATGAACCCTTATAAATTAATAAAACATAAGAAATTGCAAGCAATACATTTTCTCTGGACAGTCATTGTAATGTTAAAAACTCAACTGTGACTCAACACTCCCTTTCCAATTCCCACTACAACTTTACGTGTTGTGACAGAAAACAAACAATACAATAAGGATGAAAGATCACACCCATGTACTTTTGGCGCATGCTCTGTGGCTGCAATGCTCCACCGGAAGAGGAAAAAAAAAATCCTGTCATTCCTTTGTGCTGAGCGAGAAGCTTTCGGTGAAACCATAAGGTGTCTGGGTGAAACTGGCTCCGTTCAGGAATGGCGTTTCTCCCAAGAGAGCCAAATTATTAACACTGATTGTCTGTCTTACATCCCTTTACATTAATACTGTTAGTTTAGAAAAGATCTTAAACATGTTCCGACTTCTTCACTGCAAACGTGAAGCGCTCAGCTGAAGCCGAGTGCTGCAGGACTCACTTTACTTATTAACCAGATGCGAATTCATGCTGCTCTTCTCAAATGAAAGGTATTAGAAGAACAACAACTACAAATTAATCCACATCCTGGGTGTAGTATTTTGAATGTTACATCATGGATTTGTTATTGCTGGCATTTCAACAGCAGACATCTTTGAAGCCTGCAGGCGCTCCTCACATGAAGACTGGACTGAGATAATCGCACAGTCATAGTTTTGGTTTAGGGAGATAACTGTCCAAATAGAAACGACAGCAGCTCTCCCCCGCTTCCTTGCTTGTACAACTTGTGCGTTTCAGTGTGGGGACAGTCTGTGTCTTTCAAAATAAAGCACAAAGAGTACATTCAGGGTACAGAGCCACCGAAAAGGCAGACATGATGAAACGGATTTATTAAGAGGCGTTCAATCCTTCAATAAAGCAGACTTAAGTTCACTGGGTTTAAACTTTAGACATGACTTGATTGAATCATGTGAATTAGCAGGACACTCATTTTAGTGTTGCAACAACAAACAACCTCCTGACTCTGCCCTATTTTTAATAATTCATTGATCACATGAGTTGTAGAGGCTGCCTGACATGACAGTTCCTGGGCAGTTTGGTGAGAATTCGATTTAAGATTCATGAGAATAAATTGTGACATCACTGTAAAAATGTATACACTTTACAAGAAATATTTCATTTTAAATGATGGATTTATACATATATTATTCACATTTTTTATTACGTATACTACATCATTTTATTTTTTATACCTATGTTTATTATTACCATGATCTGTCGTCTTTATCATCCAAAAATATTTTCAAAGTCATCTTTTAATTTTACCAATGAAGTCATTATAATCTTGAATATTTTTTTCTTCATCCTCAACTAAATTTTTTCTCAATTTTGTTTAGGTTGTCATTTTAGTTAGAATTGTAATTTTTAATTTTATCATCATAAACATGTTTTTTTGATACACTTTTATTGAATTGCTTTATATCTGATAGCAAACGCCTCCACAACTCAAATGAGTTTTAAAACATTTTTTCTCTTCTAATTTGTTTGCATTTATGTAATTTTCATGTGCTGAATACTTTCACATCCATTTCTTCAATTTGTAATTTGATTATGAATAATACCAGTTTGTTTGTTTGATCAACTTTGCAAAAATAAAAAACAAAAAGAAAGCACTGTTTGGTGTTTTCCCATACGTCTCAGTAAGGGCGTTGGTTGTACACTTTCCAGAAATTGTTTTTGGAACAAGCAGCTTGCTGTTATACCAAAAAGGATCCGTTTTCGGAATATACATGTCAACTTACCATCAACATAAATAAAATAAAAAACCCACACTCAATGAAAGTGAAGAGAACAAAAAGTAGAACTTTTTAACACAATGGGGCCAAGCTTTCACTGCTCTTTGTGTATTGTAGTAAAACAGACAGGTTATTGCCATCTATTCACAATAAAACTTACTAACCTCAGACTAACTTTAAGGTAGAAAAAGGCTGAAAGTAGAAGAAGGCTGAAAGCAGCTCACCTGTCGCGGCGCACAGAAACAAAAGCAGTGAAACGAGGCGCCCCATGTTTCTTCGTTGTTTTTCTTCACACACTCGGTCCTCTCCCGTATTTCTGCCTAAAATATGGAGATAAAGCTCCACAAAATGATCTCCACGTCGAGTAAATAGCTCAGCTTCGATCTTTTGCTGCTTCTTTTTCCAAGAACTTCACCAGCTCGAGCTGCTTGCCTCTCTCTCTCTCTCTCTCTCTCTCTCTCACCTGTAAGGTGAAAACAAGAGCTCTCACTTCCGGGTTATCAGAGCTCAACAGGTGAAGTGACGACAGAGTGGAAAAACAGGTCGGGACTGAAAGGAAGCCTCCACATTTACACGCAGAGCAGAGGCAGGGAAAACAGAAGAGAACAGGACGAAGAAGAAGAAGAAAACAGAATCCTGTTTGGGATGTCCGGCTGCGTGGCGTGGGGGGTTTCTCTCCCACTGACTTTTCTGTTTGTGCGTTGAAGGTGTGTAGCTTCCTTCCTTCCTCCCTTTCTCATTCTTGAGACCATAAAGGTTATTATTCTTTTTGTGAGGTTTCCTCTCTTACAAAGTGATGTTTGTGTCCACTAGCATGTGGTGGAGGATTTGTATTTGCATAACCTAGACGTGACTGTTTCCATCAGGAGTCAAACATTTCACAATTCAGCAGTGTCAGCTGAGCATTGCTCATTCTCATGCTCTCCTGTATAAATCTGAATTGCAACAGTTTATTCTAAAATTAGCTATACTTAACAATTTATCAGATGTTTTCCAGAAACTGACAAATACTGCTACAATTAGAGCTCATACTAACTGTCTGTAGACATTGCCAACCACTCCTTGTGAGTTTGAAAATATATTTTTAAGAATTTTGACAGGATCATTTATTTTTTTGTACCTCTGGATTGGTTGAGATCAACGCTTTGTTTCCCTCTGTTAGGATTCTGTATTTTCCTCTTTCTCTTTTAGCCTCTTTCATCTGTTTACACTCACTCTTCAGCTTATTTAACCTTGTTGATGTATGACTGCCGACCTTCATATGTAGACTGAAACTGATTTGACCACCTTTTAGGGGGTGTATAGATTGCATAGAAGAAGAAAAAAGCTAAACTTGTGTACAATCTTTGAATCAATCCATAATTGAGCTAAGTGTGGCCCAACGCTGGACCGTAAATGTTTTGGCATTAAAGCCTGTTTTTACATATCACCAAATCTCATTATTTCTCAAGGTAATTTATGCTGAGGGGTTCTGGTCGGGTCCTGAAGCTAGTAAACAAACCCAGGTGGTGCACAAAGTCAGAAATGAATTCACTCCAACAAGTCGTGGCAATTTTTAAAATTAATATGCATATTTTAATACTCTATAAAGAGCCAGCAGTAGTTATACTGGATAAGATCAGCTTCACATTTAAGTACTGGTTGCTCACCAATCTCCCAAAATTAAGGAAATCAGGGTAGATTTATTGTTTAGCCGATTTACAGGTGCACCCTAGTTCTAGTCCATCGATTGGTACAAAGGTAAGTGGTGAACTGTTAGAGGTTAAAACATAAGAAAATGTTAGGCCAAACTGAAAACTAATGTAACTTTCAGAATAATACAACTTGGCCTTTTTCAGCGAACACAAAATAGGTTAACAATTTGAACTGTTGTCTGACAAAAAGTAGAATGTTTCTACAAAAACGCCAAGAAAAAGGCAATTAACAATAGAAGAGAGGTAGACCATCATACCACTTAAAATGTTGGCTTTTCCTACAAAGAAAGTCAAGATGTCATTGAGTTCCCTTCACCGTCAAAAAGCCAATTCTGAATCAGGGGACAAGTTTCTGAGAAATTAAGTTTCTGAATACGCTGAAGTTTGTTGTGACGCGACATCATGCGGAAGAGCTCAAGGGGTGTGAATGCTTTTCAAGTTCCTTTTGTTTACAGGGAAGTTGTTCCGATAAACATCATGGAATCCAGTTTGAGATATCTGAGGCGTGATGCAGAGAGAAGAAACGAGAGAGAAAGCTCCTCAAACCTGAATAGCAGCTTTTTTGATAGGCATGAATGTTTAAGCAGCACTCTGAGGATTGCTTCATTAGTAATGCAGAGGCTTGCTAAATGTTTAACTATACGTGTAGTGCATATTTAAGTCATTCTGCGCTTTCCTATTTTTTAAAACAGTCATCTACCTGAGAACTACAGTGCTGCAATCTCTCTAGATTATCCATTTAGGATCTCTTCCTATACGTTCCTCTCTTTACCTTCCGACAAGTTTGCAGGAATAAGGTTTGGGGAACAATGATGACCATCTACGAAGACTGATTTTGAGTACTGTGATTTGTTTCTGTGCTGAATTGGCCACATGTTATCCTGTCCTAACTTAGTTTCTCTTAAACTTCCCCAAATATTTAAAGGAGTTTGTAATCGTAACAATGTTCGCTACAAGAGTCTTTGGGGGAAAAAAGACAACAGACTCACCACCACCAAGTGGACAGCTGTGTTTATCCACATCCTCATTGTTTCAGTCGTGTTTGTTGAAAAAATCTTCAATTTTGTTTTATCTGGCCAGAGCACACAACTCCACTGAAGTCTTTTTTTTTGGTTGTTGTTTAATCAAATTATAAATTATGTTTGTAAACAGATGTAAAAGGCTTCATGTCAGCATCACTCAGGAGTTTGCATGGCAGCACATTTTGCTGCAGTCGTAGATCAGTAGAAAATATTTTAATTGGGTAAACAATCCATTTGAAATATGCTAGTTGCATTTCATTTTTTATTACCTTTTCTATTTCATGTTTACAATAATTCCGTTTTACAAATAGATTGAATTTCTCGGGAAAAAAAATGTGACCCACTTTTCCTCACAGGATTATAAATAATCAGTAACAGATTTAAATGTACTTTTATGATACTTTTGCATAGCAGAGACTGTAATTCCTCTTTTTCACTTCAGTTTATTGTCAGTATACAGTTCATAGTACAATAGTGCTTTTCAGTGCATTGATATGATTGTGCTTTTGCTACACACTGCCTATTTAACCATATACATGAGTAAAAACACTTTACATTATTAGTTCCTCTGAAATGAAATAACTGCTAATTAAACTCGTAGCATCTAAGTTGCATTCAACAAGCCTTGGCCAAACATGGGAGTCTCAGGCACAAATGTGAGGCAAAATAACAACCTACTTTTGGTTTTTCCTTGTAATCCCATTACAGAAGTCAACAGAACACCAGAGAGAAATTATTGCTCATGCATGCATATCTGTGCTCCATCACTAAAAAGCCTCTGAAGATCAGTTTTGATCTCCATCGGCGTTCTTTGTAGCCCTATTTTGATCCCTATCGACAAACAACTGCGCCCTCCGCGCTGCTTGACCTGCGTGGCTTGAGGTTACCACGGTCTGCCCTTGGTGTTTGACAGCCAGCCAAGAAGAGACACCTGGGACAGCTTTACGACAGTGGGATAAACTCGTTGCCTACCTTTAAAAGAGGTGAAACTCAGCAATAATTCATTATTGCAGAGCGTCAAGTTGCATAACTTTGGAGCAGAATAGGATTTTTAGCTGAGATATGGCATAGCTAAAGAAGTTGTCACACTTCGTTTAAAACCCCCTTATAATTGCATCAGAGATATAGATAAATGTTATCTTATTAACAAGACTAGAGGCGAAAGCTTTATATCTTCCAGGTACTAACTGCAGCTAAAACTGTTTTCAGGTATTAAACAGGCTGAAATTTGGGTCGTAGTCATGCATTTTGCTCAGTAAAGTCTCTCAGGACCTAATAAGCCCCATCACTCTCCTACACGTGAAAGTATTGTAGAGTACAAAGAGTATGCAGCAGTTTCTGTGCTTAGTATCGAGTGTATATAATGCAGAGGATACAGCCCTATGACAAAACCAACATTCATTATACGTACATTCAGTTTGAACGATTGCACTTTGTGCATACACACAACTTGAAGAGAGTCCAGTATTCGTCACCAAGTGATTGTGGAAGCAAGTGTTAGCATATGCAGCTGTATGGCGCCTGCTTCACAGCAGCATAGGAAGAGTCATCAAGGTCAGCAGTAGGCCACTGCAGCTTTGTAACAGGACACTCCATGCTGAGCAGGGAAGCAGGAGCTCTGTAAAGTTTTAAAAAGGGGGAAAATATTAACATTTCAGAAGAATGACGGCTTCCTTTGTTTTTGCAAGTAAAATAACAGGAAGTGCACAGCTGCAGAGAACAATGACCATGACGGGCGAGCAGCTTACTTTTCTCCACCACTGAGGTTTTGGTGGCTGCGGCTGAGTCGCCCAGCCTGATGTTGCAGGTGAAGTTGGACTTGCCTTTGGGCAGGTTCTTGAACAGCAAGCGGCAGACATTGCCTGGAAAGATACGGGCTTTGGCGCGATTCTTGTAGGGTGCGTGCTGCTCCTCGTCCGGGTTGGTGGTGTCGAGGAGCCTCTCGCCTTGCGTGTATTTGCAGAAGGGTTCCGGTGACTCAGCTGGAAGTGCGTACTTGCAGTCCATCCTGAGGTTGTTCTCAGCCACGGAGCAGTAGGACAACTGAACCACCTTCTGAGCCGACGCAAAGCCTGGCGCCAGAGGATGTTAGAAGACACGCTTTATGTGTACTTGGGAAAACTTATAATGTCAGAAAAGGCACAATTTGCAGATCATCTTACCAAAGAGTAACACTGTAATCAGTAGGAACATTCTCCCAAGATTCCTGGAGAAACACACCAAATAAATCATCCAATTAAACCAGCGAAAACACGCATAATGCTTTTCTTTTTTGCTTTAGAGTCTCTGCATCAGAGATGCTCCAAACAAATAAAGCTGACTGTGCTCTAAAGATCAGATTCAGATACAGGAGGCATGAATATCACATTTCTTGTAGCTCTGCAGAAAAAGTACTGTAACACCCATCTGATCACAAAACAGCCTCACTGTTTACACTGCAAAGACACGGAGCTGCAAACTTCAGTGGTGAGTTGCCAATATTGACGCATTTTGTCTAACCTTTGTGGATGCCACAGAATGATTATTCATCTATTCACACTGAATATATTAAGAACACATGCACACGCGCGCACACAAGGCGGTCCAGCAACATTTAATTTGACTCACACAGACCTTTTCATTAAAAGAAAAAAATGCTTCATTGCAGTTTGGAGCCAAACACTTTCATGCCGATGAACAGAATGAAAGAGGAGCAGCCTGAATAGCGCACTCCGGTAGATCTGATTGACATGACTGAGTATGAATCATGCTCACCTTCTCTGATGCATTTTGAGTCCTCCTCAGTGTTCTGCAGTGCGATGCCGGGGGTAGATACAGTAGAGGTCGGCTTATAGAAGAAACGGAGGAGAGAGGGAGGGGGACAGAAAAGGGAGAAAGAGAGGGAGAAGAGGGGGAGTGAATGCTGCTCCAGTGGACTTTGGGGACATTTCA